GTACTCATTAAGCGCAGCCCTTGGAGGACGAAACCATAGCTCCAGCCATGCAGTTGCAGGGCTTCTAGCGACAATATGACTTCCTTCCTTCCTTCCTTCAATTAAAACTGCATTCGCGGATTAACTGCAAGAAGAATCAAGTAGTGATGTGCGGATCGATCCTAAAGTATTGATATTTCTGATACCAACATTTCCTGCTCTAGGATCGATACTCATATAAAAGGATCGATATCTAAACTCAGTAATTTGGAGTGAGTGTGTGTTTTATCATAAGTATCTTACTGTCATCAGGATGGTCTAATTATAGGCTACTCTGTTGATAGGAACTACTTTTCCTTCTGCCTGTCAAAATCATGCTTGGCTCTTGGCTTGGCTCTGTGACGGAGCTTCTTTGAAGTGAGCCGCTGTAGCCCTTTACATTTCCCTCGATTGAATACTGACTCTGGCTGACTGTAAAAGCAGTTATGACTGGCTGTATTTTAACTGTGAAGGTAATAATGACGCTGTGTGTGATGTGTGTGCAAAGACAGTGAAATACTTTGGCAACACCTCAAACTTCGCTAAACATCTGAGATTAAGTCAAAATAATATGATGATGTTATGAAGCGACAGTTCTGAGCAGGATATTTTCATTATAATTAAATAATATGACAGTAGTTTGATGTCTTGTCATTATGTAGCTGTTATTTTGAATTGGTAAGGCTACAGCCTACTCATTATTTCTCTCATAAATACAGAAACAGGAGGAGGGAGGTCACATTAAACTAGAAATAAAATATGTAAAAAGTATTGGTATCGTTATCGGCAATACCAGCCTGGGTATTACTTGGTAGTGGATCGCATAGGAATTGAGTGGTATCGCACACCACTAAAATCAAGGGACATTTTTCATGATGACGTGGGCTTATGTAAACTATGCCCCGCATCGTCACAGGTGATTATGTTGATATTAAATACTCGACCTGCGCGTGCGCGAGACTGAATTTGAAGCATGATGTCTTATGAGGGTTTTTTGTATGTGTGTCGAAGAATTTTGAAACCACTAAGCTACTTCCGATTTTTGAGTTGCAAGAAAAAAGATCAGGGTCTCCCTGAGGTGGTTTATTATCACTGTGAAGTGAAATGAGTCGGTGGAAACAGGACGTTTTCTTTTTACATGAGTTTGAATCTTGGCTGAATGTAGTAAGCTTTCTGTGAGAATGTAATATTTTCTTTAGATACTTGTGGTGTCTTAGCATTTATTTATTTATTCAATCGTTTCTGCCACATCAATTGCATTATGTTCAGCAGAAGCTCACTTTTATTTTGAAATGTGCTGCGACACGATGTTACCGTAAAGCCTAGCAAAAACACGCATCGCAAAACAGCGCGAGGGCTGGCTTGACTGTCGTTTTCGAAGTGGAGGCTGGCTTGACTTCAGTATTAAAGTGTTGCATTACTCCTTTTAAACCAGCAGAGGGAGACATCCACCGAGTACATGATCTTCAGATTGCATGCTTGTGTAGTTTTGTTTGTCATCATCTGTCCATGTGCAAGTGTTTATCTGTCATTCTCATCTTCCCTGATTAGCAAACAATCTGCCTTCAAGGTTCTACTCCAAGAGAGAAAACACGTCCTGCACAAAGTTAAATCCACTGTCAGTGTGAACTAAAACAGAAGTGGTTTAACGACGTGATGACCCGGGGTCCAGTGATGTGTCATCGTCAAACCATCAGCTAATGAACCACTAGTTGTTTATATTTCACTGTATGATTCAGTCGTTTGGTGTGCTCCATGTGTGGGTGTGGGCGTGTGTCTGTATGTTTGTGTGTGTGTATGATGGGAGAGGCAGAAACCTAAGGAGTGCTTGGCTCATTATTAAATATCAGAGTTCAGCTGTGGGTCCAATCAAAACAGCCTTCGGGAAACATCAGCTTAACCAGAGTCATGAGACCAAATTCACTCACACACATGCACACTCATTCACGCACACATACAGCTTTACAGATAAGCATGTGTGGTCGGACTCAAGTCTGTGTATACTAGTGTACTGTTCACAGAGCCCTCTGCTCCCGCCGTCATACAGACGAGTAGTACGCATAGGTAGCACGTAGCTGCAGTACCGGAGGCTGCAGTTTCAGGACCGCAATCCTAGGACCGGTGTTGTGCCTAATTCTGCCTGCCTGCCGAGAACTGCACGCACCTCGCGGGTGATAACGGTCATTTATGCTGAGAAAAGAGGTGGATGCAAATCTCGGCAGGTAGCCTCCAAAATTTGATCTGCAGAATTATGCATCAACCTCTTTAGGTCCTTTTCAGACACTTACTTACTTATTTACTGAATGTCAAGGAATGGTACTTATACGCTCTAAGTGTATTGAAATATTAAAGGCTCTAAACGTTCATAATATATTTACTTCGAATCATTTAACACCATTGATCGACCCCACAAAGAATATAATAGCGTTTAAAAGCAGTATTTGGAGGTGCATGCAATTCTCAGCAGGCAGGCAAAACTCTGCAATTCAAGGACCCTTGTTTACTTTGATGCTGCCAGCTAGCTGACTAGCTATGTTACTGTTTACAGCCCCCCGAAGCCAGTTACCCTTAACACAACCACCGCCGAGTGTGTGCCTGAACCTGCTATGGTAGCATTTTTCGGCAAGGCAGCATAGATCGTCAGAACACCGGCAACAGTTCAACGTTTAGTCCTAAAAGACGATGCAACTCTGACTCTGTTTGGGCCTGGAAATTCACAGTCACAACCTGTAAGTTTGCTTTATTGGTTGTGAATTATATTTAAAATAAACACGGCAATGTAACTTAACAGTGTTCAAGTGTGGAGTTGTTGTAAACGTTGGCTAACACAGCTAAAGTTATAACTATAATGCTAAAGTTACATCTGATGTGAAAGCTACTGTGCAAACATTCAAATTGTTTGGCCAGTTTTTATGTAAAACTGAGTTGAAATATGGTGATTTTTGTAGTGGTTTATGGTAAGATGTGGAACAATGATGTTGTGGACTTGTGAGTAACTTGTACCATCTGCTAGGTTACGGTCACAGTCTGAAGCGGCTTTGATTTGGATCACACTACCTTGTTTCTTACGACCCGCCCTTCTCTGCTTCTGATTGGCTGGTAGTTCTTGCCTGGGAACTGCGCATGTGCAACTCCCAACAAAGATTTTGTACAAGTAAGATGCATCACTCTGTAGCTCAAGAGCGGAGCCTTCAACACACAGGGTGAAAAGAGGAGCTGCAGCAATGTGCAGAATGAGAAAAAATATGGTGTTTTTTGAAAATTAAACCATGTAAACCTGTTCTGGTACAACACCTAATTAAGATTTTGAACCTGAAAATGAGCATAATACCACCTCTTTAACTTCTTGATGATTCATTTGTGTAGTACAAGTAAAATTGTTCAGAAAACAACAGCAACTTGTACAGCCAGTCTAGGGCAGCCAAATACCTCAGGATGGGTAAAAATTAATTGTGAGTAAAGTCATTAATTTATTAACTAACTACATTCCAGGTGCCAAACTACAATGACCAGTACAGAGTGGAAGGTCACGTGACATCATGTCCAAACCTACAGTCAATAGTCCAAACACACCTACTTTTTTGTTTATATATATTTTTTTCTGTGTGTAACAATGCAGTTTAAACTGAAAGACAGTGATCCATTCCAAGCAGAAATAATATATACATTTAACGAATCAGTAGTACAGGAACATGTGTACAATTAATGTTAAACGTTAAGAAAAAATGCATTGCATGATGTTGCAAAATATTAAATAAATCACATAAGGAATTGTTTGATCAGAATCAATTTGTCAGGCAAGCACATTGACTTATCCTGCACTGGTGTTTTGGTAATGACCATATAATAAAACTCAATTTAACACACACACGTGTGTACAGACCCCACATAACACACACATGGTGCGGTGCAACTTGAAGACAAAATGTCCTGTGTCTCTCTGCCTCTATAAACGAAGGCTTCCTTATGTTTCAGAGACCACTGGGGATATATTTTTCTGCTCCCTGCTTTTCCCTCTCATCTCCTTTGTAGAATACCGCGGGAGGCTGGTTTGGGTTTCTCTGATGTGTGTGTGTGTGTGTGTGTGTGTGTGGGAGAGGGAGGGAGGGAAGAGAGAGACTGCAATAGTCAAGAGGGATGTCGTTCTTACAGTCTCACCATTTTGGGATCAGGACAGGAAGTGGGCTCAACAGAGGAAACATGACCTCCTCCCCCTCGCCCTCTATCCTCTTACTTTTTCTTGTATTCCCTCTTCCTCCCTTTGTCTGTCCCTCCCCCAGTCTTCCAGTGCCATTCACAGGGTCATTTCGGTCTTTTTTGGTTGCAGAAATCCCGTAGGCTGTCACATGTGTTTGTACGGTGTTTGCGTTTAGATCTTAAATTACATTCTACTCACTTCCTGTGTAAATAAATCTATGCTAACTAGTGATTTCTGAAACAACGCTGACACTCTGGTCTAGTTATTTCTGGGCTCCCTCCCTCTCTCTTGAGATCTGCAGTTTGTTATGTATGAGAGATCCTCTGATTAAAAGCCAAAGCAAAGGTCAGACTCTGCTGGGTAACGGAGATATCGCCCAACTTCAGCTTTACTCTCATGCCCAGTGGTCTGATATCTGTAGCTGATGCGCTTCTTGTTACATTATGTGGAATGAAAGCCTTCGGTTAGCCTCCAGGCTGTACATCAGTATAATATTACTTATCCAGAGCCTCAACTCTCGGCTTGTTGGCTTTGCAAGACAGCTTCTTGTGTTCATAAAACTGCCCCAGGACATCAGAAAAACAAATTTGAATTAATTTTTTTCCCCACGTCTCCTTCGTTTAAAAAAAAAAAATCCTCTGCCATCCCCCTCTATTTCCCCCTCTCTGCTAAACTTTCTACCACTTCTCATTTTCCAGCTCAGAAGGTCTTGACCTCTTGTTTTGGCGTGTACACACTCAAACATACACAGACGCCCACACTGAGAAAATGAAGAAACAGCATGTCAGCAAACGGCAGTGTATTTCACCACAGAGCACAGAGTGCCAAGGCACTGGGAAACAAAAAACAAAAGCAGCAGACCTTCCTCTTTTAATCCCCTGCCTCCATCCTGCTCCCATTTAAAAGTCTGTCGCCTGTTTCTTTGTTTCATCCCCCCCCCCCCCCGACGTTTTTCTTTCTGGTCGTTTTCTCTTGGACACAGTGCAATGACACTTACAAAAAACTTGTATAAGTGTAAAAGGTAGGTTATAGTTAACAACAAACGTTACAGTTACAGTGATAGTGTTAGACAGAGTGGTGTTTGTATTGTAAGGTTACCACAGTACACACAGTGTCAGTCAAATACTTTTGTCTGACACTACATACATTATTCTATGTACAAGATGTATGAACATGCACAAAAGGACCATAAATCACTATGGAAACACACAAAAGCACATACAAATTACACAGTTTAATACAGTATTATAATAAGGCATGTGGAAGTGCTCATGATTAGCCTCATTCCCCTCGAGGCCATTTGGATTTAAAACTCGGGGTGGGAGGAGCAGCCCAGCTGTGTCCTACTGCTGCGTACCAAAATGCATGTTGGGAATCAAATCAACATTTTTCATTTCATAGATTCTCCACTTGAGAACATATTAGAAAGAAACTGATTTAAAGAATCCAAGGAAGGATGTGGTTTCAAATTGAACATATTTTGAAAATAAATGCTTCTGGTTGGTTGGCAAGCATCTATTAAAATCACATAACAGGACTTCTCATAGTTCTGCTTAACAGTTTTACCACCATCATAAATCAGTGCACAATAAGTATTTTCACTATTATTTTATTATACTGCAAGTAACCATAGCAATAGTGCTTTTTCTTTATGCTACATTACCAGCTAACTCTCACTGGTGAAACAGGGCTGCAACTAGTGATTATCTTTCATTAGTGATTCATCTGTTGGTTATTGTTTTGATTAATCGTTTAGTCTTTAAGTCTTTAACCTGCATTAAGTGATTTTATTGGCTGCCTGGGGGCATCGCAGCAAGCTGTAACCACAACAGTGACATATGCTCTGTGGCCTCTGTTGTAACGCCTGGTTATGTGAGTTTATTATTCAGAGGGTCCTATCACCATATAAAGTTGATATAGCTAGCGTATTAGAAAGCAGTCGTTGATTATTATAAAAGAGCAACATTAATTTGGAATTGTGTTTGTGGTCACGTCATGAATTTAAAACCAATTTTCAGACCAACTTCTGAGGTAAAGAGCTGGCTCTTTAGCTGCTCCATTATTTTCACCAGTTAGCTGCTGACTTTGTCTGCCTGCTGTTTGGTGCTGGACAGGTAGTGTAGCGTGGGTTTATTGCTGAAAACAGCTGGGCACTGTTTGAGAGAACCGAGTGGTGGACCGCAAAACCAAAACACTGAGCTGAAAATGTCTGAACATCTGAAGGAACTGCAGAGTTGAATAATAATCCCTGTGAATTCATCACTATGAGCGACCGCTTTCACATTAAACACAATCATTGTTCTATTGTTAATATAAAAATATCGACATGTGCAGCTTTAAAATGACATCTTGAAATTACCTGCTTTGCCCAACAAACAGTCCAAAATTCAAACCCATTAAGCTCCCAATATTATAACACAGAAAAAAACCACAGCAAATTGTCACATTTGAGAAGCTGGAAACAGCATGTTTTCTTGATAAATTAATCAAAACTGTTGCTGATTAATTTTCAATCAATTGAATCATCCATTAATCAACTAATTGATAAAGCACTAGACGCGACCAGTGGCTTAAATGAGTACAAACTAATTTAATATAAATGACGATTGGTTCTCTATGGTATTAGCGTGGTAATAAACTTAGGGGTGTCCTGATATAGAAAATACCTGACTTGTTGAAGGAAAGAAACTCATTGTGTATCATCTGCAAACTTCCCTGTGTTATTGTTCAGTCTGGCTAGTTTTAATGTTTTGTGCCAGTCCTCTAGGTAGACATCCTGCTCTGACTGCTACAGAAGTCCAAAATGGCCACCGGCCATGTAAGAATAAGGTCATTTACAGTTCAACCCTGTCATTCTCTGCTGTTCCCTTCACGTTTACAGGACAAAAGAACAGGAACAAGTAGTGTAACCATATACCACAGCCTTCCTGTAAATGGGGTACTTATAATATGCCTCAGGCAAGTCTAGTCTATTGTAGTGCTTCTAAAGGGATGTTGGTGGGAAAATAGAAGAAATGCATAGCGAAAGAGATTAAACGTAATTTGTGCAAGACCAGGAGGTGTGTGTTTCTGTAAACTAAGAAGAGTCGCTAATTTGACCGTCTCTTGCTGGAGAGGGAGGAGACGTACAATCTGTCTATTGTGCCAGAGAGGAGAGGGTAAGACTGGTTATCTGCAGCTGTTCCTCTCTTGTATGATGGCGGGAGTAGGAGGATAAACACAAGCAGTGAAGGAGAGGTAAAGAGAGAGAGACATAAAGACAGCATGGGAGAGAGCGGGGAGCAGAGAGAGAGAGATTCATCTCTTTCCTCTGTTAAAGTTCATCAAGAGGAAGTCTTGTGCAACCTTATCACATAACACAGCATATGACCAGAACGGGCCCAAACCTTCACCACTCTCCCTCTGTCACGTGTACATTGGGACAGAGCATTTTTCAGCTTGTTTTAAACTTTCTTTCTTCCTTATGTTTCCTTTCTTTCCTCACTCCAACTTCTTACTCACACAGCTTGATCTCGCTACTTTCCAACTGGCAGCAGTCTGGCTTAGTTTAGTGACAGGGTTGTCATTTGAGAAAAAAAAAAAAGACACTTTCAGTGCTCATGTCATGCTCATTGGTTCTTTTCTCTATTTTTTTCTTTACACTTGAGAGCTAAAAGAAGGAGAAGGTGACGGTTTTTCCAGCATACATACATTTATACAGATTAAATGCAAGATCTGGTCCTCTATGAGCCTCACAGTTTCCACAGGGGCCAACATAGGCCAACAGGTCCAGAGTCAATTCATGGCTCCACAGGTTCAGAGTTCAAAGTTCAGTTGAATCCACATTGTGAGTCAACTGGATGCTCCACAGGTCAGTGTTAATATGCAGTCATTAGCTAGAACAAAAACAGGCCTGCTCTGTAGTCCTCCAGCCCTGGATTTGTGGCTGGTTTCACATTTTACAGTCAGAGAAGCTGTCGTCTGCACTGTGAAGGTCACTGCAGCATGATATCTTTGAGGTTTTCCTGCAAGATGGTGTCCTTGACGGCGTGAAAGACAAAACGGATATTTTCTGTGTCTACTGCAGTGGTGAAGTGGTGGAAGAGCGGCTTCCCCCGGTTTCTCCTCTTACGGCTAAACGACTGCACCAAGAACGCCTGGAAGGAGCAGAGCAGGTACACTTGAGTATCTGATTTGAATCTGACTTCTTAAACATTATGTATATGAGAAACCCTGTTTCCGTAATCAGGGCAGGAGATTGGACAAAACCTGATTTCTTCAGTAGAAACTTGATCTCTTGGCCAGGGTAACCACATTTATAATCTGCTTTTTACATGTTTACATTTACACATGTGCCTGACAGACTTTAGAAAGATAAAATCACTGGGGGGCTGCAGGACGAAAGGAAAAGATTAAAAGTAACAGTACATCCTCATATTCTAAATATTTCCATCCAAAAAAACAACAATATCCAAGTATACAGAGCTGAACATTTGAATATTTAAAAAATTCTAAGAGTAAACTCTTAGATAACCACAAGGAAGAAAAGGGACAGAAAACAGAGAGACAGGCTTAGTAAGTGTAACAAAGAAGTATAGGTATAAGAAGAGGAAAACTAGTTTTAAGAAAGGTATTAAAAGTAAATCTATCATTAAGCCCTCTGCGGACCGAGATGTTCAGTCTCATCAGAGGAGGTGTTATGCCAAATAATCTTTCCCAAAGAGAGATGCCTATGGCCAAAACATGTCAGCAATGAAATTTCAACAAAATGTGAAACTCTACAAGCATTGATTGCTTCGATGGTGTGCCACCTTTTTCTACTTTTGAACCGATTTGTGTGGGTGCATGAAAGCATACTGGGTTCATATACAACAGTTGGAGGAGGAAAATAAGGAGCAACGACAAAACAATTTGCAGGAGTAATTAGTTCAAAAGCTGAAAAATGGTGCCTCATAATGCTGTCAACATTAAAAACATCTTTGTTTTCAGTGTGTGCGTGCGTGCGTATGTGTGTACCTGTACATCCTCTAGCCTGCGCGGGTCTCCTCTGTATTCTGGAAAGTTCTTGCGGATGTCCACCGTGCGAATCTTTTCCACCAGCAGGTCCGTTTTGTTGAGGAAGAGAATGATGGACACGTTGAGGAAAAGCTTGTTGTTGACGATCGTCTCAAAGATATTCATACTCTCCACCAGACGGTTTGTCCTTCGATCCTCCATCAAGACCTGGAACCACACGCAGAGACACACACACACAAACACAATATTCCGTTGGTTTTTTTCAGGTTTTATCTGTGCACCAATTAAGATTCAGTCGTCATCATATGACTGTTTATTTGAACCGCAGCCACGAGCAAGGGAACAATCAAGTTTCCACAGCCAACCACAAAGAGAGCTTTGTGTAAATCTCAAATGTTGTGTCTCTCTGATGTTGCTTGTCCATTTCGTAATTCTAAAAGTCAAGAGAATAATGATCAGACTGTCTGACTAAACCTCTTGACATCTTAACATCAGCATTGCATGACCAGAACTGTATGTGTGCTTGAATGGTACCTGATCGTACTCTGATGATGAAACCATGAAGAGTATCGATGTGATCCCGTCGAAACACTGAAACCACTTCTGCCTCTGAGACCTCTGCCCTCCGACATCCACCATCTTGAAAGGAATCTTCTTGATGATGAAGTCATGCTCGACAATGCCTTTAGTCGCCTTCCTTGCAAACAAAATGTCCTGCTTGCTTGGGATAAAATTCTGAAAAGGGGGAGATATAACCATATTCCTACAAGTTAAAAGAGGTGAAGAAATACAAACAGCACTCAAGATCTAACTAGTCACTGTGACTCACCAGTTGACCAATACGATCCAAGTTATCCAGGAAGTACTTGACTGACTCACTCTGCAGACAGGAAGAAAAAATGCAACCGAGTCATCTTTTATGCATTAATCAAACTTAAAAGACCCAATTGAACCACTTAGTAGAATTACTAGAACAGTTTCATTTTGTGTATTTCTTCCTTATTTAATTCACATTTAAAGGAAGCTGTCATACTGTGGTTATTGATGTAATAATAGATCAATCGATGCTTTCTCCTCAATCAGCAACAAAGGACAGAAACTATGTGACCAACCACAATGATTTCAGTCCCATTATATTTTTAATAAAAAATACTCTGCGACTTGTGAAGCTACTTTTATAGACAGGCTTGACCAACAGTAAAGTATTCAACAACAACAATGGATCAAATCGGTGTGAGTAATTTTAAAACGGTCTCGCCAAAGTTAGCGACTAGCTGGTGAACATAGTGGAGCATTTAGTAGCTAAAGAACCAGATATTTCTCTCAGGAGTTGGTGGAGAAAAGCTAAACAGAGCTAAAAGGAGAGTGAATATTTGACGTCAATTCATTGAGCAGACAGGAACATGACTCCAAATAAATGGTACTGTTGCACCATGTCTGCTGGATCTGTAAATAGGCAAATGTTTGTTTGTTCGCCATAAAAAACTTTATAAGGTGACATGTCGATGTTTTGTTTACAACGTGTTCTGCCACCCCTGCTAAGTACACAAAAGTCAATTAATGCAGCTTTAAGATGAATGAAACCTACAAAAACTAGACATCCCACGCATAACAGCTGTTCCTACAAACATGTACAGATCTTGTTAGTCTTAAAGTGCAGAAACTTGCACACTGGATGAGAGGTGGGCTGTGATTTAAACTGTGTTACAAGGCAACCACTGAAATCATTCGAGAACGTGGATTTTTGTGACTTTGAGAACTTTACTTGAACAGAAACAGACGTCCATCAAAAAGAGCTTCTGATAATTTGTGGTTCCAGAAAAGGACAAAAATAGAGATAACATAATGTAGGCCACAAAGGCCGTGAGCTGTGCAAAGACAAAGAAGTGAATGAACTTCAGGTGGGCTGAGTTGCAGTGTCGGAATATAACTTTGCTCAAGTACTGTACTTAAGTACTAGTAGTATTTCTAGTAGCAATTTTGAGGTACTTGTACTTTACTTTCCACTATTTCCTACTTTATACTTCTAGTCCACTACATTTCTGAGGCAAATATTGTAGTCTTTACATCACTATATTTATTTAAAAACTTCAGTTACTAGTTGCTTTGCTGATTCAGATTATCAATACAATATATAGTCATCAAATAAATTATGTTGTAATATTATAGATTAAGATAAAACTTTATTGATCCTGAAAATTCACAAGCTACCCAGCAGACAAAGTATTAAGAATTTGAAATGTACACATTCATGCATCAATAATAAACAAAACAATAATATATATGATTCTGCATAATGAGTACTTTTACTAATGGCAGTTTAAGTATATTGATATGCCAATACTTTTGTGCTTTTAAGGAAGAGTTTGAATGGAGGACTTTTACTTGTAAGTAAAAGATCTGAATACATCTTTCACCACTGCTGAATTATAAAACAATTCCCATATTTCTTCCAGCACATGATGTAGACAGTCCTGATACCAGTCATAAAAATCAAACACGTTTTATCTCCAGACCCTCCACATCCACTGAATCAGACTAGAACGGACTCGGCACAGTCTGTGTTGATCAAATCAGATATCTGCACAACAATTATAATGGGTGTCCCTGCAATGAAGCACACCAGGTTTTATATGGTGGAACAAAACAGCGTGTATCCACATTTTAACACTCAAAGTACAAATCATGCCCATTTTAGATTTTTTAACACAAGCTGTACAGTTTAGATTTATTTTTCCTGCCGTTTCAGGCCGCAGTTGAGCTTTTTTCATTTCTGTATGGTATGAAAATCAATTACCAGACACTTGAAGCTTGAGTCGTATAATCCAGCACAGTGAACATCAAGTCTGCATTCATTTTTGTCAGTGCTATGCTGTTGTTGAGCGTTAATGGGGTTTAACAGCAGGCTGATCTTCACTGTAATGGATTACACAGCTAATTGATGTTCATACTATTGTGGGTGCCTGGAACAGCAGCACAAGTAATTCAGTCATCTAAAGCACATCTGCATGATTGGCAAAATGGTTTACTGTGGTGTGACGTACATATGTTTTGTACTAAAGGGGCTTAGAGATTCAGCCTCTAATACAGTACACACTGTACATAGACCATAAAGCTGAAACATAAGTTTTATAATTTTTCTTTATACTTATGAAGTGACTCTCTCTCTCTTCCTCCCTCGCTCTCTCTCTTACAAACACACACACATTAACACAACATTAAACCCACACACCCAACAGGAAACAGCTGTGTGTGTGAAAACAGTGGGGAGAGACATGGGGGAGGGAGGGATTAGCAAGTCAGACAGAACACAGATACAATGTCATTTTAGCACTCCCATCTCACACACACACACACACACACACACACAGCATTATTCCTCTTTAAAACCCGCGATGACAGGTTTTTCCCAACTTTTCTCGGTCTCACTGATCGAACAGAATCAGTGAAAACTCTTCACATGGCTGCAAATTCATCTCTGTCCTGCTCTGACATGTCGCGTAACAACCAGGAAATGTGACCCTGTGTGCTGGTGAGATGCGACCCTGTGACCCCGCCGCTGACCTACAGTGTCACAGAAATAGGAAACACAAAGCTGGGGGACTCTGATTGGTTCAGCTGGACATGAACAGGAGGAGGGGCTGGTCAAAGGGAAAAGCAGGGAGAGGGGAATTCCCAGAGATGAAGGGATAAGCAAACACAGACAGAGACAAACGCACACACACACACAAAGATCATTTGCACACTTTTACTGCCATCAGCAGAAATGAAACAACCTGATGCACTGGAGGCATCAAACTAAATATCAAAATAAGTTCATATTATTAGGCCATGGTTTTAGTCTGTTGTAATGCACAACAATTACATCTACTAAACTGTGTTTGTGTCTGGATTTGTGTCGTGTGTGTGTTTAGGTGTGTGTGGTTGAGTAAGGCTGGAGGAATGTCTCCATTCATGGCGTGGATGGGCAGATTAGGGGCTTTATTACAGCAAAGACCTGAATAAGCTCACATTCTGCCGTGTGTGTGTATGCATGTGGCCACAGGTATATGTGTGCCACTTGTATGTGTGACTGGGTGTGCCACTATTTGTTCACCACTGCAGTCCTTTCACTACAAACAACAATGGTACATTAACTCACCTTGTGAATATAAAGAAAAAACAGGTCTAACTAACATATATTTTTATTATTGCTGGTGATAATACTTCAATTGACTCATTAATTGTCAATAGCTACTAACTGTTCAATAAAATGTCAGAAAATAGTGAAAAGCTCATCACAAGGTGATGTATTCAAATTGCTTGTTTTGTCCAACCAAGAATCCAACATTCAAATATATTCAATTTACAATGATAAAGCCAATTATCATGTAAAAGAAGTGAGTATTTGGAATTTTTGCTTTAAAAATGATCAAACGTGTTGTGAATATTCAGGTTCTGATGGCAGTTGCATATTCACAATTAGTTAAACTAAGACTGACAAATCTCTTATTGAATCTTTCACGCAATGTTCCTATTTTAATATACAAAACATTCAGATAGTCATTTAACTAGTAGTCCGTCAATATTGTGTCTACACAAAGTGTTTCTTTTTGCCGACAGGTTCAGATTGTTATACAAGTTGTCTGACACCATCAGGGAAAGGATCCCTACGAGTAACACCTGCTAACACCAGAAACAAAAGTCTCGCTCTGAAATCTCATGAGAGGCGAGTTGCTGCAGGATGACGTTGGTACGTGAGTTGGAGAGTGAGAAGTTTGTTGTGTACACAGAAGACTTTATTTCCTAAAGTTACTCCAACACATCAAATGCATTAAATGCTATAAAACACTATGATTGACTAATCAAGCAATCAATTAATCAATTGATTGCTTCAGCACTATATTATTCATACATGTGTTTTTAGAATCAGAATCAGAAATACTTGTATTGATTCCCGAGGGGAAATTTGTTTGGTTACATTTGCTCATGAAACAAGGCATTAAAGAAATAGAATAGAAATAATAATAATAGAAATTATAGATGTTATGTTATATATTAGCTGTAAGTGTAAATAATAATTCTATGTTTGTACTTAATTGCTATTCATTTGGTTTATTATAACGTGGGTCATAATTTTAGCCACCATTCCTGTCAGTGAAAACAGTTAATTGCTGAAATCTTGGAACAAAATAACTAAAATAAGTCCGGCTGGTTAAAATGCAGGCTCCGCCAAACAATCAGACCGGTTTTATACAAACCTCCAGGTTAGACAAAGTTATTTGGAAGAGAAGACAAAGGCAAACAGTAAAGTTATGACCTAAACCGTTTACAGACCAACTTCCTGGTTCAACTTTGATCTAATGTACAGTTTTTCTGTGCAATGAGTCATTAGTACCAACATTTTGGATGCACCCATTTTCCTTTTTACCAATAAATAAACTGGTTTAGACAATTTGCCAAAACTGCCATGTGTTTCCGTTGTATTGAAGTTGCTGTTTCCAGATCTCAGCAATCACTTTGGTGAGAACAGACTTGTCAAAACTGACCGAAATTATGACTATGAAAATAAGACTCAATAAATAAAAATCATCCTTTAATTCTTAAACCAAAAGGAAAGAAAGAGTATCAACACATATAATATTGCTTTTTGGTTGTTATAGGAACAATGTTCAGTTGAAAAGAAACACAAACCCAAACCCAGAGACGGGGGAAGCGTATTTCCAGGTTGAAATCGCATGTAGTCAAACATATGGCGTGAGTGTGTGTGCCTGTGCATGTGTTTCAGCATTTATATCCTCTTTACATCTTTTTATACAGTACAAAGTCTTACCCCATTTTTTCAGGATGTCTGTGCTGCTGAAGACAACAGCAACAGTTTACCGTCACAGCATGATGTAC